CTCAGAGTTTTGTAAAACAACTGAAATAAAATAATAACTCATGTACAGAGAGAGAAGAAAGAGGGAAGAGAGAAGAGAGAGGAGAGAGAGGAAAGGGGGGGGGTAGAGGGCAGAGGTGGAAGTAGGATGGGAGTGTCTGTTTCCTGCTCAACACTTCCTGCCTCCAGGAAACTTGTGTGATCCTTCAGAGACATTCAGAGACTCCCATAGACAGACAGAGGACAGACAGAGGACAGACAGAGGACGGACAGAGGATGGACAGAGGACAGACAGAGGATGGACAGAGGACAGACAGAGGATGGACAGTGTTGGTTTGTGGGGACGGAGGCTGATCTCAGATCAGAACAGAAGCTGATTTTACTGGTTTGATGTAAAGCAGCTGAAGAGTCAAACAAACATGGACAAGAGGAAGCTGCCGTGACTCACTTCCTCCATGTGTGTGTGAGTGTGTGTGTGACTCATTGTGGTTCTAGTCTCATGGCTGTTGTCTTGTGCCCCCCTCAGATGGACAGCTGGTAAGGCAGCGATGGCAGCAGAGTTTCCTGGATGTGGAGGAGACGACTTCAGATCAAGACTCCATGTTGGTCGTCATGGCCTCGTTGGACGGAAACACGCCGGTTGAGACACTTCTGGCAGCGATCCATCTGGAGAGGTCAGGGCGGGGGGGTGAAATTCTGTGGTCGCCTATTCAGCTTGAAGCTCCTCCCTTTCACTGTGAGACATGTCCATGCTGACCACAGACAACCTCACAGTGTGACGGCCACGACCCACAAAATAAAATGTTTATTTTAATTTGATTTAATTTAGTGTCCAGGACACTGAAAAGTAATCTATTACCATCCATTTTACTTGATTACAAAGATGCAGGTGATTCACAGAATGTTCTTCCTTCTGTCCCTCCAGGAGAAGAAGAAATCACATTTTCTGAACATGAGAGTGTTCCTGAACGCAGCTTCCTCTTTTATTAAATTAAACTTCTTTAATTCTCACAGCTTTTCTCTGAAAGGTGCAGTGTGTAGAATTTAGTGACATCTAAAGGTGAAGTTTCATGTTGCAGCTGAATACCCTTCATCTCAGCCCCCCCCCCCTTCCCAACATGACAGAGAACCTGTGGTGAACTTCATTTTGTCCAGTTTGGACGACGGTAAAAACATGGCGGCCTCCACAGAGAGCACCCCCCCTCCATGTAAATATAAAGATCTGTTCTATGGTCAAGAAAACAACAATTCATACAATTTAGATGAAACACAACATTGAAAACTTCACTAGGATTATTTTAGATTCAATTTCTGACAGAAATCCCTTTCACCTGAATCTCACACACTGAACCTTTAACTTTTGTTCATACATTTTAAAAGGTTTTAAATTGCCCCATAAAGATTCCAGTAAGATTTTTCACCTGCTGATATTCAAACTCTTTATCTTCACACGTTCACATCTGCAGAGCCTCTTAGCTCCGCCTCCCTAAAAGACCAGTCTCCTTGATTGGTCTACCAGCCTGCTTTGCTGTGGTTGGCCGACTGCTCAGAGAGTGTGTTAGAGCTGTGCCACCAGGTTTCCTGGTCAGCTTTAAACATGGTAGTAGTCATGGTAACAATGGTGTTGGTTCTGTCACACCAACTGAGGCTAAACCATATGTTAGCATGTTTACGTGTTTGCATGTTTTTACGTTTGCATGTTTACATGTTTACATGTTTGAGTTTTCTGTGGGACAGGAGTACAGGAGTTGTTCGTGACTCAACAAAACCTTTATAAAAAACTGTGACATTGAAGTAAAGAGAAAAACCTGCAAAGCACAAAAGATGTTAACACACAAGATTTAAATGTCGACATCACTGATTCTGATATTTGTACAGTGTAAAAATGGTTCATGTTTATTGAAGCCACATGAGGTCGTAACGTCATCATAGCAACAACATATTTTTTCACTGCAGATACCTGGACACCTTCCATCAAGCTGCTCTGCTGTTGGCGAGAGACTTCACACACCTGGACCATGATGCACTTGTCAGTCTGGGTATAACTGCTACTGGACACAGGAAGAGAATCCTACGCTTGGTCAGTCACATTCAAAGGACAGAAGTTCAACGAGCCAATCAGAAAGCAGCGACTGATCTCTCACGTGACCGCTGTCATTCTGTCACCGACATTTCTTCAACAGCCCGAGGTTGTGACACTGCATTTTGCCGTCAGTCGACAGGACCTGTTAACTTTGAAGGTTTCAGGAACAGTTCGGCTCCCAACCTCGCCGCCATGTTGACAAACTCAGAAACCAGTGGCAGCAGTGCTGTGGTGAAGCCAGTTCCCAAACCTAGAACAGTCTTCAACCGCCGCAGGACTGCACCCGTAAACTTCTGTCCAACACCAGACCCTGCACCGCCCCCACCCAGGAGACTGTCCCAGGAATCCATATGTTTTACTGTGTTAGAGGGTTTGACCTCAGGGGACACACCCTCTGATCTCAACGACAAGTCGACCACGCCCACTAGAAGACTGAGCCAGGTGGAGAGGACGAGGCCCACTCGAAGTTTGTCTCTATCAGACGCTGGAGGAATGTTGCCTCCAGTTCCCTTAAGGCTGAATCGGGCAGCCCCCCCCTCAATATTCCAGGAGTCACTGTCATCTTCGTCTCTTTTACCTGTACGAACAGAGCAGAACCAAACTTTGTCCTCAGTGACATCCAGAGCTGTTAGTAACAGCAGCGGACTTTATGGATCCTCAACTTCCAGCTCACCCAGAGGAGTTGGGTTGGAGATGGTCTCTAATGAGATCTACTGGGGCACTTTACCTGGATCTACTGCCCCCACTGGAGGGAGATGTTGCAGCAGCCAGCAGTCGGCTCCTCCGACTCCACCAAGACAAACTTCTGAGAGAAACAGGTATGTCATTGTGGTGGACGTGTGTCCACATCAGGGTCCATGCATTTCTTCACTGTGCTTTATGCATTACGGGGGCTCTAAAGGAAGGGGGCGTGGCCACTATTGTAAAACTATCAACTGTCAAAAGTGCTTCAACAGTGTTGAGAGGAAGTGACAGTTAGGGGCCTCCGTCAGAATCCTGACAACAGATATGTCCATTTCTGAGGATGTAGCTGTCACTGACCGCATATTTCCATGAGCCCTTTCTGATAGTAACCATTAATATGTCCACTAGAGGGCAGTCAAAAGTTTCTGAAGGAGGTCTCAGTGTTATTCTTGAATGAGGTAAAACCGGAGGGAGCATTGTAGAGGTCCTATTGGCTGCACTGAATCCATGATGGAAGGTCTATAACAATCTATAAGTTTTCACAAAAACAAATAATGAAAGCAGATTATGGAACCAGTTGTCTGAAATGGGCTGTGTGTGTGTGTGTGTGTGTGTGTGTGTGTGTGTGTGTGTGTGTTCTCAGTGGCAGCACTTTAAGTAACAACTCTTCAGGATCAGCCAGAGGTGAGTCTGACAGTCAGCTCAGCTTTATATATAAATTAAAGCTAGTTTACCAGCTGACTCTGTGCGTCTTCTGTTAAACTGAGACAGCTTCGACAGATGAGCCCGAGGAGGAGATCAGCCCGTACTGTGAAACTGTTTTCCAGACCAGAAGGAACCTCAGTGAGGTGAGAAAGCTGCTTCCTTCATCCTCTACTGTCTCTCATCAGAAAGATAATAAGTAACTAAAGCCAAAGGAATTCAACCTTCACAGTTTGACTGTTGGCTGAGATTTAAACCCTGTAGCTGTGATTTTAAAACCATAGAAGAAATGTGCTCATTTAATATTTGATCTTATCCAGAGTGACAGAAGTCGTCTGGAAGGAAACGAGATGAGGAAGGATGAGGATAATGCCGAGGATCATGGGTAAGTCACCAGGAGCATCTGAATAGATTTCTAATTGTGTACAAGGTCCGACAGGAGGAGAAGCCACAATTTACAGGTTCATGTAAAGAGAGACTAAGAGAAGGCTTCACGAAAGTTTTATGCTTCTTTGAGGACTTTGTCTCAATTTATACAACACATACACTTGGGTCTCTGGACCCACACACGTACTGGCGTCTGCTCCAGCTTCAAGAACCCAGCCTACTGCCGGAGACCAGAACCAGGTTACCAGCATGCTCTTACTGACTGACTGATTACCTGATTCTGTACAGCTTTGATACAGTACATGCTGATGATACAGTTTTATGTGTGTTTTATGTTCTGTCTCAGACTTTAATCTGTCAGGTTTTATTCTCAATGTTTCTGAAAGTGAAGCTGAATGACAGAATCTGAAATTATGAAACTTGGTTCTGAGCAACTTTAATGAACTGATCATGAGCTGCATTGTTTCAAAACCTTGTGATACCAACAGTTTGAGTTTCGGAACCAAGAGTTTACGTTACTACTTTTAGGAATTGATTTGTTCTTTTGTAGGAAAAATACAATCATTTTATTTAATGAAGTGAATAATAATTCCTCCTCACAAAGTATTACAACTGCGTCACTGAGTAAAGATAAGATTCCCAGGATTCTTACCATAAAAAAGTCTGATGGTTCTCAGGATGTGATGTCATTTTCTCTGTAGATACCTGATCATCTCCTCAGCTCTGTATCAATAAAGTTTTCATGTGTACCTTCAGGTGGGAGAAGTTGTCTCAGGCTCTTCACTCCTCAGACTCTCAGGGTTACAGTACCGTCGGAGAGCCTCCACCTCCCCTCCACTGCCTCCCCCTCTCCCTCCACACCTTCTCATCAGAGACCGACGAGGACTTGACCATCTCCCCCTATGCCAGCTACACCTCCCTGTCCGAGAGAGCCCCGCCCATCATCAGCGGCTGGCTCGACAAGCTGTCTCCACAGGGGTGCGCTTGATCAGTTGGATGTAGTTTAGCAGTTTCCAGTGGTCGATGAGTAGTTTTCATTGGTCCTGTAGTATTTTTCATTGGTCTTTAGGGAGGCTGTAGGGCAGATTGAAGTTTACTTGTCATCATTGAGGAGGTTTTGGATTAAAGGGTTCAAACTATCTCAGGTTTCTTCCAGTGGTTTAAAGAGCAGGGTTCCCATGGCTCTTCAAAAGTTTTAAATTAGAATAAATCAAGGTCTTAAATTGGCCATAAATCTTTTGCAAAATATTACATTTGCAGGCGGTGCATTTAAGGCTGATGGGAAAATTGTCACGCACAGTGTCCTAACCCAAAAATATCTATAAAATGTTTGATTAAAATTTATTTTTCTAATCACAAACACAATGGATGTTGATTTCTTCTACACTGACAGTTAAGTATTCAGCACCCCATAGTTCCCAGTCTTTCAAATCAGTGGGCAGGGTTAGACATTACTGAGGCTCTTCTGATCTGAACCTGAGCTTTTTACTGCCGGCTGTGGTGACTCTCTCATGTGTGACCGTGAGGTTTATGTAAAGGAAAAGTGAATTGACATAATAGTCATCTGATTGTGTGTGATCTAGTTTTATGTTCAAATAAATGAAGCTTTATCAAAAACCAACAACGTGTCTCCTGCACAACAACTGATGGTTTGTGTTTTGACTTTTCAGGAACTATGTTTTCCAGAAACGCTTTGTGAAGTTTGATGGAAAAAACTTCATGTACTTCGGCAGCGAGAAGGTACGAAGAGTATTCCTGTACTCCTGTTCACCTGTACTCCTTTGTACTTGTACTCCTTTACTCCTGTTTCTCTGTACTCATGTGTACCTGTGTGTGTGTATGTATTTGTATAAAACACCTGTTCAGGTGCTCTGATGAAATGTTCAGATCATATTTTAGTTTTTTCTGATAAAGTTTTTCTGAACAGTTTCGTCTCTCTCTGTTTCAGGACATTTACCCTAAAGGAGTGATCCCATTGGCTGCCATCCAGATGACCCGCCCAGCCAAAGACAGTAAATTTGAGGTTGTGACGAGTCCGAGAATTTTTGTTTTCAGGGCTGAAAATGAAGGTATGTTCCAGTTTCAGAGCCACAGGTGTACAAGAGTACATGAGTACATGAGTTCAAGAGTACAAGAGTACAAGAGTACATGAGTACAGGTGTACTTTGTCAAAAACGCAATAATCGGCCACATTTGAAACACAACCGTCACACCATCTTCAAATGCAGCGTCTGAACAGGGCGGAGCCAAAACTGAGACACAGCTGTTGATTAAATCAACATAAATATTTATAATATATTTATAGACGATTCGCGATTTGAAACATGTTAACATGACTTTTTTAAACTTTATTTAAACCTTTATGTGTTTAGAGCAACACTGCCGTTAGTTCTAATAAAGTTTTTACAGATGCCACACATCTGTTACACATCTTCACATGACTCTGGTGACATCACCTGGCTGTGAACGTCGTTCTGTGTTTGGCTGTCGTAGTGTTGAGGCGGCGCTGGATGTCGACGCTGCAAGAACACGTCAGAGACCAGCTGGTGTTCGGGAGGCGCCGTTTTGGTCCCGGAACTCACTGTCAGAAACATGGCGTCCTCGAACTGAAGGGAACCAAGTCCAAAGTATACACCGCCATTAACACGGATCAGATCTGGATTCACAAGAGTGAACAGGTGAGAAACATCTGCTGATCACTGACTGTATATAAAGATGATCACTGACTGTATATAAAGATGATCACTGACTGTATATAAAGACGATCACTGACTGTATATAAAGACGATCACTGACTGTATATAAATTTAAAAAATATATATAATAAAAATATAAATACTCCTCATCCAACCATGAGTCAGTGTCAGATGTCCGTCACAGCTTCTGTTTCCTGTCCACAGTATTTCTGTAATGGAATTGGAATGACGGTGATTGAAGCTCGAGGCGCGACCATCAGAGATGGAAAACACAAGAGCTTTGACCTCATCACGCCGTATAAAATCTTCAGGTACCATCATGTTTGTCAGACTTCATTAAGAATCTGAATCTACATAATCTTTATTGACACCAAGTTGTGTACAAAATGTTGTTGCTGTGGCAACCGTCCACCAGCCTCACTACAGACCTCTGTGCTGCCTCCTCAGCTTCACAGCAGAGTCGGATCGGGAGAAGCGGGACTGGATGGAGGCGCTGCAGGAGTCAATCGCTGAGACTCTGTCGGATTACGAGGTGGCCGAGAAGATCTGGTCCAACCGATCCAACCGGATGTGTGCCGACTGCAAGGCCCTGAACCCTGACTGGGCCTCCATCAATCTGTGTGTGGTCATCTGCAAGAACTGTGCAGGTTTGACCTTTGGACTCAAAACACTTCCTGTTTTCTTTCTGTAATCAGGTTGAACTTTGTTGATTTCATGTTAATTCAACAACCTGAGAACGACTTCACCAAAGCACCTTGTAGATATAAGGTGCAACAACCTGCCACACCTCAGTCCCCTCTGAGCCATGATGTCAGCAACCACCTTTCAAGCAATAGATCAGATCATTAGAAACCAATTTATTAATTAATATTAAATCATATTATTGATTAAATTGATTAGTGAACTGTGGGAATACTCTGCCCACTCCGGGTAAATACGGGAGGAGAGAATCGCTTTTCAACAAAGTCTTTGTTTCTTTACCAGCCTGTAACAGGCACACACATATACTTGGGGTCTCTGGACCCACACACACGTCCACACGCACTCGTCTGTCCTGCTTCCGCATCAGAAGCCCCGCCTACTGCAAGAGAGAACAGAACCAGGTTACCAGCGTGCTCTTATTTATCACCTGATTACCTGATTCTGCACAGCTGTCCGATCATCGGCTGAGCCACTCCTCCCTGTTGTCCAGCAGTTGGCGCCCTAACCACACCCCGCCGTCACATGAACAAATTTCAACGTTGATACAACTCAGTGTCACTAAGGTAACCTTGGAGAAACCTCTAATGCCGTGGCAACCACATAGCAGCCAGCCACAGGCGATTCTACCAACACCAAAACAATAGTCATTCATTTTCCTCTGTAATGGTGTTAATGGAACATGGCCAAAAGTATGTAGACATGCCTCTCCACATATAAATAAGAAGAATAAAAACAATTGTAATGCACAGACCAGTTTTCATGGATCAAACTCATGTACTGAACTTGTTATGGCCAAAAGCACATAGCAAGCTGAACACTGTCCAAAAATCCCTCTGCTGGGCAGCCAGAGGGAAGAGTCTGGCCTCAGATCAGGAGCCTTTTAGACTGAAGACACGTGCTCAAAGCAAAAAGACAAATGAGCAGTGATGGAAAAGGCAGCAATGTGGGTTTTAATTAACAATTTTTAACATCTCACTCACCACAGATGTTCTTAAAGTTGGGGTTTTAAACATAAATGGTGCAAGAGGGCAAAAGAAAAGTATTTTAACTTACGAAACAGCAAAAATGAAAAAAATAGAAGTCTTCTTTTCACAGTGATTCTAATAATGAGTCTGACTGGAGGAGTGGGCCTCCTCCTCTTTCCACACGCCCTAAAGCAGCTGGTCTGCTCTCACGGCCTGGTGGATGTGTGGAGGACAGTACAGCTGGTCCCACCTCGGAGAGGAGGGTCGTATTTATTGTTTTAAATGTAATTTTAATGTCTGGCGACCTCCAGTGGAGAGTTTTACACTGTGCTGTTCCTTCCAACGCTTTTCTTTCTGTTCTTCATCCCACTGTTCTTAATAACTGTCCATTCTGTGTTTGTTTTTACAGAGCGCAAGAGACGGACAAGTCTCTTCTCTCTTTTAAATGTTTTCGTGTGTTTTAATGTAATGTAAAGTCTCTGATCTCGAGTCTTAAAAAATGCTCGTTATAAAAACATCATCTGCACTGTGACCAACAATCAGCTGTCTTTTCCACTTTAGAACTGATGTATTTTTAATTATTTATTTACATTAGCACTTTTTATTGTGACCTACAGATTGTAACAATGAAGATATGTAAATAAAGTGTCCCCCCCCCCCCTCTCTGTGTCAGGGCAGCACAGAGGTCTGGGGACGATGGTTTCTAAAGTTCAGAGTCTGAAGCTGGACACCAGCATCTGGAGCAACCAGATTGTCCAGGTGAGAGCAGAACCAGTGTGTCCACCTATACCAATCAATCAATAAATGAATGAATGAATCAATAAATGTATAAATACGTTAATAAATAAATATCCCCAACAGTTCCATCTATACCTGAGTCCTGAACTATGAAGCAGGATTTGTGGTTATCAGGTTAACTTTAGGTTTAATTCAGAGTTTTTAGTTCTACGAAGCTCGTTCCCTTGTTATCGGGTAAATCACCATGGTAACATGCTGAACAGCTGACCTGCTCCAGGTTAAGTTGGAGATAAGAGATCAAACAGTAAAAAGCTCCGCCCACTGACCACTCCCCTCCCTTGAACCATGACATCATGTTCTTATCGTGGAGCTGGTGTGGATCGTTCCAGTCTCTGAGGAGGACCAGGGTCTTCAGAGACCCACAAGATCCTTTGAGATCCTCTGAGGAGTTTCTGAAAGATCTAGATTCTCCTCAGAGGATGAACCTTTGTCAGCTGCTGGAGCTTCAACAGAACCAACCTGACCCGTAGGAGCAAAGTGCTTCATTCACCGTGTTGTCGAAACATCGGATAAGCCAGAGTCGTTGTGTGTGGGTGTAGGAGCTTTGTCTGGATGACCTGCGCTACCTGAGGCTGAGCAGTGACCGGTCTGATCATCCTCCAGTCGGTGCTAGGACTGACCGCGCTGAGTTTCGTTCCTGCGAATTTGACACCAGAGTTCAAATATTCAAAGTGCAGATCCTCGTTGTGAAATAGGAGGCTAGCTGTCCACAGTCTTTCAGCCAGATCACTGAAAGATATCCTCGGGACGTTGAAATCATTTCTGGCTCCTGGTAAATATGTGGAATCAAATATGTGGAATCAAACATGTGACGTCTGTGTCACTGGGTCTTTAACCTGCAGCATCCACACTGAGGTTCATGGAGCTGTAGTTACATGCATACAGTATCTCTTGTAGGCTCCGCCCCACACTCATATGTTTAATTTTTAAGATAAATCAACACCTGAAAACACACGTCACATGGCCTTTCATGCCACGTGACATCTACTGCGCTTGTGTCCGTCCTGGGAGACGGATCCTCACTGACTCTCAGGTTTCTATGTTCTTTCCCCTGTTAGAAGTTGTTTTAGTACTTTTACAGAGGATGTCACAGCTTGTTAAAGATCTAGGAGACAAATATGGGCTGTACAAATCAAATTTGATTGATTGATTGATGGCCTGGAAACAGGAAGTAGATTGTCTGCAGGTGGTTGCTTAGTGATAGAAAATACGTCAACTGAACTGAATCATTTCTCAAACATGTATTTGTTTATTTGTTTGTCTGTTTATTCTCCAGTTAATTTATATTTTTTTGTGCGTCAGATGTTCATCATGCTGGGGAATGACCGGGCCAATGATTTCTGGGTGGCTCGTCTGTCTAAGTGGGAGGAGCTTGACTGTGACTCCTCCCTTGAACAGAGGAAAGAGTTCATCACTCAGAAATACAGAGAGGGACGATACCGCCGCCAACACCCTGCGTTCAGCCGCCAGGAGGAGCTGCTGAAGGTCGGGAGGACGTGTGACGCCATCATGTCTATATCACGTGTATAGAGACCTGTTCATGTCTCAGTTTAATTTAAAAAAAAATTGTGTTATTTTTAAACAGGTCTTGTGTTCGGCCGTCTCGGAACAGACACTTCTGAAAACCGTCACTCAGATTTTCCTGGAGGCGGAGTCAGCGTGTCTCTTGGAAGGTGGCCAACAGCACCACCTGCTGGATCATTGCATCACGTCAGGTCTGGACTCTTGTGCTCAGATAAAATATTCGTCGTGTGGTGTGAGGTGAAGCCATGTTTAGTCATTACAATGTAAATTCAGAAAGGACAGCACAAGAATTTCAATTCATAGGGAAACGTGTGTTCTTTGTGTATTTGACAATAAAAATCTTTGAATACATACATCTATATAGATTTTTATGAACATACGTATTTAAATAATATAAAGACAATCAGTTGCTGTGTGTGTGTTCTTGTGTTTGTGTGTTCTCAGATCCCAGTGTTTATGATGAGATCATGCAACCTGTTCTTCACACTGGTTATCTTTACAAATCCGGCTCCATCAACAGAGGAACCCTGTCGAGAAAAACTCGAGAAGGTAGGTGTGTGTTTGTGTGTGTCATCATCTTTAAATCTCCTGTTTTATATTTTATTATGAAAATGTACTGAAACGTGTTTGCGATCACTAAAACTTTCAGATCTAACGTCTCAGATTTCAAACTAATCTCTCGTCTTGTTCAGACTTCCAGAAGTTCTGGTGTTCGGTGGATCGCTCGCTGCTCTTGTACGAGTCGGAGCGATCAGCTGATCCCTGCCTGCAGATCAATGTTAAAGACATTGTGTGTTTGGGCGTCGGCCGACCGGACTCGTCCAACAACAACAACAACAACAACAACAATGGATTCATGGACAGGTACAGACGCTGCTCTCTTCTTCTGATTGGTTTCTGTTAAAACCGACACAGAAAGACGAACTTTAGCTTGAAGGAAGTTTTAAATTTCGCCCCCAGGTTCCGTTACACCTTTGAGTTATATTTGACTTCAGAGAAACTCTTCCTTTTCGGTCTGGAGACTTCCGGCGCTCTGCACAGCTGGACCAAAGCCATCGGGAAGGTCGGACACTGTGACTCTTCCTTGAGATTGATACAAAAACATTTCAACAGTCAAAGTTTAAATATTCTGACACATTTAAAAGGTTATAAATATTTGGAATATCAAATAATATTTATTCTTGAACCCTTGCTTCAGTTTTCCTGTTGATTCTTGGTTCTTTAGTTTCAGGTGTTTTTAGTCTAACTGCCCTGTTCTTCACCACCAGGCTGCAACACCGCTCAGCTGTCACTGTCTGCTGACTCGGGAGTTTGAGCGCGTCGGTCTGCTGCGCTACCGAGCCATGTTGGACCCTCAGCAGTGGAAGGATGCATACTTTGTCCTGCAGAAGTCCAACCTCTTCATTTGTCCCCTAAATGATGGAGCAGCAGAGGACATCATCAACCTGAACCGCCTGCAGGAGCTCAGTCAGTGTCCTGGTCCTGGTTCTGGTTCTGGATCTGTTCTCCATGTACACACTGTGTAGGACTGATTGAAACTGTTTGTTTGTTTTGAAGGCATAACCTCTGAGAAGGAGAACCACGAGAAGAAAGACATCCTGGTGCTGGTGGAGAAGGGAAGGTGAGAGGATGTCGAGGCGTTTTTAAAACTGCCATTGGCCAGAGGCATTCTGTTTTCAGGTTGTCCGACCGTCTGGTTCTTGGAAACACTATATCTTAAAAAACCCTTGAGAGAAATTTTGGTACAAACAAGAATGAACTGATCAGATTTTGGTGATCAAAGGTCACAGTGACCTCACAAAGCACATTTTCTGCCTTGTGATTCCGATATCTCCGGGAAAACCGTCAGTGTCTATAATATATCTATGATATCCTGCCAGAACAATTCAAAGCTCTCAAAGCTCTAGTAGCGAGGGGAAACACCTCCAGCCTCATGATGGTCATTTAAACCCTCCAACTGTCTCCAGCATCACAAATGAGGAGGAGAGCGACCGTGACCCCTCCACATCAGGTCTCCTTTATAGACCTGAGGGACACTTCGTGAGGTTGGAAATGGTGCTGGTGCAGGGAACTGGTCTTGAATCAGACTGACAAAGCCTCAGCACAGCTCTTACAGAAACAACAACAGATACATCCAAAAATCACAAAAAACAATTACTTAAAGACAGAAAAGGTCAAAAGGAAGAGTTGTTAACTGGCAGGACAAGTGAAACAACTGCAGCAAAGGGAGTCAGAGGAACTTGTTGCGCTGTTAGAACAGGTGAAAGAGATAAACCAGAGAACGGGACACAAGATTCAACCTATCGCTCTCACAGAGGAACTCAAAGCAAAGAATTGTCTGAAAGAAGAGGACACGTCCGTCACAGAGTTTGAACCACTGACCACAGCAGCAACACGCAATCACGTGATCCCATCAATCACTCAAATTTCATTTGTAGAGCCCATATTCAGTGTGTAAAATCAAAATTAAAGGTGTCTCAGAAACTCTAGAGCAAATCAAACAAACTCAAAGTAAATCAGTTAGGTCAGTTCTGTTCAGGTCCAAATAACTTCTGACTTCCGGTCAGAGAACACGTGGCACGGTACAGAACAATGGACCCGTAATGTGTGAAGTAGTGGAAACAAACATAGAGTGCCAACCTGACACTGGACATATTACGATTTTAAAAGACATTTTCAGGACAATTACAAGACAAATAATCTTTTAAATAGTTCTTTCCAGAGACCCTCCAGGATTTTGCGGTTTAGGGGTCTTAAGTTTCAGTCAAGGGGTTTCAGACCCCCCCGAGACCCCCTGTATTTCACTCCCGGGTCTCATTAGACCACAGAGTCCCACTGCAAATCTGATATTGTCTGATGGATTGACTCCAATAGTAAATTGATTGATGAGAAAAGGCTCTTCCCCAAACACAGACGCAGCCACAGGGATTCTCTCTGAATCGTATCTCAGCTCACACACTAATCCACACAGGTCTGACCTGCGGGCAGCAGAGAGAGTGTTTCTCAGAACTGTCAGGTCACACCTTCACAAACTGAAAGATTGTGATGTCCATTCTATTACCTCGAAGGATTTCCACCCTCACACAATACACACAAACATCCCCAGAGACTGTGAACTCAATGTTCACTTCGTCCTCTGCCTCAGTAACTGTGAGACAATATCAAACTGCAGTGAGAGCGAACAAGGACAAATATCTACAAACCAATTACAAATAATTAGTCAATAAT